AGAAAATACTTTGGTTTAAAATCTTTAAAACTTATAATATAATTCAATCATAACTCTTTATTATAAAAGTCACTAAATTTATATTCGTATAATTTATATTTACAGAAATCTTATATTTCCCTTTTGTTTATATAATTAATATTGAAAGGATAATCTTTCCATTTATTTACTATCAATTTATAATTATTAAATATAATTTCTAATAGAATTAAAGATTCGATAGTAAATTTAATAGATTTAATATTATCAAATTATTTTAAAGCTAAATATTCAACATTTTTAATATAATATTCCTAAAATATAAAAGAATCTGTAAATAATCCTATTATATTTAATGAATAATAAGTAGATAATAGAATATTAATTTTATCAAGATATAGTAAAGTTTGAGTTTGAAGAGTATAGTACTAAGCTCGAGCTAAATACTACTGGTTTTTATTCTTCAATATATATTATAATAAAGAATAAGATATAAATTAAAATTAATGTAAAAGTTGTTGCTATGTTGTCGACTACTTTTATTTATATAAAAGCAAATATCAAATTATATTGAAATGATATAAAAGTTTGTATCTTTTTAAAGAAATATTAATCTTAATTTAAATCATATATTGTAATTAAAATTAAGGTGCCAGGCTTTTAATTTATAATATTACTGATTAATGTTGATATTATTATAGGGATAGTGAAGTCAATATAGTACTATGGTTTACATTGTTGTTATGTTATATTACTTGAGGTTCTAAAAGCTAGGGTTACAAAACGTATTGCTGTAGTGTCAGAAGACGCTAGCGTCAACGCTAGCGTAGTCACATGATCACTGTCCCAACAATCTATTTTAACAAACACAAATCGCTCGAACAATAAGTTATGTCAGAGAGCCCCCCTTACGACAGCATTGGAGTCGCTTATTGACGGTATTATCCTCAGCTCCCTGTCTTGTTTAATAGGAATGGATTCTTAATGTTAAACGTGAAGAAGAGTGTATGGAATCCCAGCAGTAACAAACCATTCAGCTGCCAGTTCTCTGTGATACTCCATTATCTGTTTTAGCATTCGGTTTATTTCCTCATCAATCGGAGCACGAGCTTCCTGATAGCTACGAACTATATGTTTGTACTTTCTTCTCTCTTCCAAGATATTGTGAACCTTTTTAAAAAGCAACATTCCAGATAACGCAGTTCTGTGATCTAGTATTGTCACCATTGAAACGGCGCAGAGCTTTGATCTGATGCTTGCAAGACAGAAAGAAAAATTCATGCATGGTCCACGTTTGTCCCTTCGTTGACTTTTGGTGGCTTTGTATATTCGGGCTCATAAAGTATCATACCGACCTGGATCTTTGACATCTTCCGCTTGAAATGGGAATTCCATCCCAGCCCAGCTTCCAAGAAATGCGATTTAACTCGTGTTCCACGAAATGACGATTACTTTGAATCGAGGGACACTGGTCCTATAAACATATATCAACTACTGAGAGTAAAACGTTGAATAGCTATGCTAGCTTTGCGCATCTGTCCTCTTGTGGACGGTAAAGAATCCCAATCAGTAATGTGTAGTTTGCAGAATGCCTGTTTAAGGACGATACATCGATCTAGTAGTGAATTAGAATGCCTCTATGCAGGAAAAGGCGCTTTTCAAGAACAAGCATCAACACATCACTTGATAATTGAGTTGCCATTAACAGCATCAAATCTTTCCCTCGACCTTTGAATTCGCAATCCCATACACTGCATTGAAATCGATGGGTAATGCCGTATCACATCGATGTATTGTCTTAATTTCTGGATAGTCGAAACTCCTTGATTGTATCCGGCTCAAAGAATACCTCATCGATGCTACATGAAATATGTGACTTGAAAATATTATATTGATATACGTACAAGAGAATTGAGATGAGCGCGATAAAAGTTTGAGAAATTCGCATGACTAAGCAAAGCATGACCAAATTGTCTGCCATCATGATTTTTTCAAGTGCAGCATGGTTGAAATATTACACATTTGGCATCCACGCAGTCTCTCGAGTTTCTAGAAAGCCCCATATCCCGAGCCGAGTGAAAATCGTCGTCAAATCGTCGTTCATGCTTTGGTGGAAATCACTGCCTTGAATAAAAAACTGAAGCCAGCTTGCACGTGACGTACGGATCACATTTCTTGAGGAGGGCTCTTCTTCACATATCACCGTTTATCTGAACAGTGATGCCTTCCGATCCACTTACCTACACTTGCACCTGCCATCAGCCAGGTCTCGTACTTCTCTTCTACCGCTATTTCACTTCTCCACCTCAACTCCCTACACCACATTATCCACACACACCATCTACCCTCCAAGACTTGCACACCTTCCAGAAATCAACATGTGAAGCTCTAAATCTCACTGGCAAAATTCGAGTCGGGAAGGAGGGTTTCAATATCACTGTGGCCGGCACGACGTCAGATGTGCATTCGTATATCGAATCTTGTATATCCCATTGGTCATTCGCAGGGTTAGATTTATCATTAGACAATGAGAAGGGAATCAAAGAGTTCTTCAAACCTACAAAAGGCTGCGCATGTGTTTTCAAAGATCTGAATACCCGTATTGCGGATGAAATCACACCGTTGGGAATCACAAATTATGAGCCTAAGGATTGGAACGCGGTTTCGTATCTCAGTCCTGTGGAGTTTCATGATATGGTCACGAGTACGCCAGATGTGGGAGGAGAAAGGATATTATTGGATGTGCGAAATCATTATGAATCGCGGATTGGATTTTTTGAGGCACCCGAGGAATCGGGTATCCAAACGGTGAAGCCACAGGTTAGGAGGTTTTCGCAGTTTCCCGCGTTTGTGAAGAAGCATATTGATTTTACTTCTCGCCCTTTACCTGAGAGTGACAAGGAGCATGAAAGTGCCGGTAGAACGATTTTCTCATACTGTACAGGTGGTATTCGCTGTGAGAAGGCTACAAGGTGGATCGCTGAGAATGTGGATCAAGCTCCGCAAGACAGAATCTACACGTTAAAAGGAGGCATATCGGCTTATATAGCATGGTTTGAGGAAGAGATGATCGCTGGGAAGAAGAGAGAAGATGAGTGTTTATGGAAGGGGAGGGAATATGTTTTTGATGGAAGAGGATCATTGGGTTTGGGTAATGAGAATCACAGGAAGAAAGTAGCGAAATGTCATGGTTGCGGGAGGGAGGAAGACACAATGGGAAAATGTTGCATGAAAGGATGTGAGTTGGTGTTAGTGGTTTGCGAAGCCTGTGAAGGTGTCAAGTGTTGTAGTAGTTGTGGAGATGAAGATGAAAAGGGGAAAAGAAACGTATGTGATTGTGAACGGCAAAGAGAATTTGAGCTTTGGGGAAGTGAGGGTATGAAAGGCGTGAAAGGTGTTTCAGCTAAGCAGAAGAAATCAAATGAAAGAGGGAAGAGGCAGATTCGAAATGATACCATAGACACCGTTGACATTAGAGTTAGAATAGTAGGATAAATAATTATTGATTATTCTATTACCATATGCAATATAGTGTTTTCGCGTTGCGAATTAGAAAAGCTCAAGCGGGCATCCCTGGTCGACGCTCTTTTTGGGCATTTTCTCCACAATAATTTCCTTCGTCAACTTCATCAATTGCTCGCCTAACTCCTCATCCTGTGACAGAGAGCTTCCCGGCTCTGGGATCGCCGGTGGACAGATATATAATCCACTTTCTTCTATTGCAGTACTTGCGTATAATGTACTAACACAGCCATCCCATTGATCCTTCTTCAGCGGCTTCATCACGACAGACATGCCATATCCGAGTACTGGATAAGGCTCATGAATATCAACTTGTGACATTTTTGTCTCGACGAATCCTGGATGTGCGGAATTGACCAAGATTTTGGGATATTTGGAAGTAAGATGACGAGCTAAGTAACGAGAATAAAGCATAGCAGCCAACTTTGATCTTCCATATTGTCCGTTTGGTCCCAAGTCCGTATTCAACTCTTCCTGGTTGGCAAATTTGCAATCGCTTGGGGTAGCTTGATGAGCATTCGATGCCATATTAACGATTCTAACAGTATTGCCTGCCTCTGCTGTTTTCTTGAGGATTGGCATCAAGTGACTGGTGAGAATAACGTGGCCAAAATGATTGACAGCCATATGTCTATCAAGACCATGATCGGTAAGTTGGTAGGTCATGATCCCCCGTGCAGCAAGATTGCATAAGATATCAATTCTATCTGTGCTTTCGGATATCGTGTGGGCAACTTTGCATACGGAGGGCCAATCGGATATATCACACTGAAGGAATGTACATTTTTGAGCTGCCTCGGGTGAGATAGTCTTTGTGATGTCTTCTACGGCACCATCATAGACTTCTTGAGACACAGCAATGATAAATAGCTTGGCGAGGTTGTTTTTGAGAAGAGTGTGTGCGCAACCATAGCCGATACCTTCGCTACCACCAGTAATCACTGCTACTTTTCCACTCTGATCAGGGCAATCCTCGAGAGAAAATTGGTGCTCTGGTTTTGCAAGAGAGTGTCTACAAAGAATTAACACACGAATAATCTGGGGAGAATAATGGATACATACGCACTACCGAAGTTCTCGGCGATTGTATTCTTAACTGCCTGCATAATTTTGAAACCGGAGATAGGAGGATCTGTATATATATAGAAAGAAACCTTGATGGTAAAAATTGATTTGATACACTGAGTGCTAGTAGATGCTTATTAGGAAACTTCTGTTGGATTGAAAGTTGTATAGAACTTCGATCTATCTATATGTAGGTGAGGTCGATAGTCATGATGTCACCATGACCTAGTGTTGAGGCATACATCATACCGCGGGGTAAAAAAGGATTGTCTCTTCATGCCGTCACTTTATGTCTTACCTAGTAGGTACCTACATATTGTCAACCATCTCACGGACCGCTTAGTTAAAAACCATTACGACACTTGCATAATAAGTATTCACGTATCATCTCAGTGAGCTGCAAGGCTCTTATTGGAGCCGTATCACATACCTAATGAGAGCTTCTATCGTAAGACAACCTGCAAATCATGGTTTCACGATTTGGTAATTATTTACGAGCTAGAACTACCTAGTTGCACATTGGCTCTGCATGTTGAAATCGCCTTTTATCATCTTAAATTCATGCCTCAATGTACTTTTTTAGGCCACGTAATCTCTCTTTAGCTGATTCGAGTACCTGATCTTCCTTGCATACAGCAAATCGCAGCCAGTCTTCGCCAATATGAGCATTCTCATCGGTATAAAACTCGGTTGGAGGAATAGCAGCTACGCCAACCTCTTGAATCAAGAACCAACTCAACTTGAAGTCTCTTGGGCGGTCCTTAACATGGTCTGGAAATGGATAGTCCGCTGGAATCTTGACCTTCTTCATGTTCACCAAAACAAAATAACCACCTTCAGGATCAGAGAATGGAAGGTCCAATTCTTTCCAAATTTCGTTGAAAAGATTCAATTTGCCCTTCATCTCCGTTACGGCTGAGTTCCAGAAGTCATTAGCATCGGCTTCTTCAAAGCCAACAGCCGCAGCTTCTTGTAAGGGCGAGACAGAAGAATAGCAGATTCTGGTGTGTGCTGCTGCAACATATTGAATCAAGTGTGGTGGTCCGATCAACCATCCAACACGCCACCCAGTCGCGTAGAAGTTTTTTCCAGCAGACCCAACTGTAAGTGTAAGTCTCTCAATTTCTGGAGATAAGGTTGCCATTCTTGTGAATGGTGTATAATATAATCGGTCATACACTTCGTCGGAAAGGATGATAATTTCGTTCTTGACGCAAAGTTCTCCAATCTTAAGCAATTCCTCCTTTGAAAAGACCTTGCCGACCGGGTTATGAGGCGTGTTAAGAACGATCATCTTTGTCTTAGGTGTGATAGCTGCCTCGAGCTCGGCGAAATTTATTGTCCATTCTCCTGCAGAAGTATTCTGAGCTGCACCCTTCTCAGGTGGATGTAAAGGTACGTAGCGTATCTTTCCACCTGGCATTTCTATGTTGCTGATGTATCTGTGAAGATTCAGCATCGGATTTGTGAACTCATATTCGATATATCGTCTTACTGGTCAAAGAATGGCTCGAATATTATAACCTCGTCTCCTTCTTCGATGAATCCCATAAAGGCACTTAGCATGCCTGCAAGTGGTAAGCGTATATTCCAATACTTCGTGGTTTCCCCTAACCTTCATTTGCACCGGTTGTAATAGTAATCTCCGTGTCGGGGTTCAGCTTTCTCCCCCATAAAGGAGAGTATGAGTCTGCAATTGCTTGCTTGAGACGTGGACGACCCTTGGTTGGCGAATATTGATTGCATTCGACCTTATCGAGAGCTGCCTTCGCGGCATCGAGTATAAATTTAGGAGGATTGTATCCGAAGAAACCTTGGCCCATATTCACAATAGGTTGCTTGGGAGAGGCGGCAGCAGCCTCATTGACAATGGTCCTGCAAATGCGTTATGTTAGAGATGTGATAACAATGGCAGGAGGCCATGAGCTTAGAGTAATTGTTCAGAGATTCCCGTGGTTTGCACTTGCGGACTTCCGGACTTGCAGTAAATGTTGACAATTAGACTTCCATGAGACACAGGGCAAAACTATACATACCAAACATCTTGCTTTCTTGCAGCAACCCGAGCAGCAGGTTGAAGCTTAGATTTGTTACTCATGGTGGTGTGAAAGAAGCGGGGAGATGTAATAGAAGAGGTTTTGATAAATTGTCCTGTCAAAGATGGTGACGGAAGAAAAGGAGATTTACGAGTTATCATTGACATCACCGATACTTTAACAGAAAGAGAAAGAGGCGAGATAGGAGGAGGAAGAAAGGTGGGATGAGATACTGATGATGAATAATCCCTCGAAGATTTTGATATTATTCACGACTTCTCATACTCTCTCCTACTTTATATACTGATTAGGTAGCTTGGGTGCCGGTGTCGCAATGTCGCAATACTTCGGCACAAGGATTACGATAAGATCGACTCCTCGTAAAGCTTCCAACACTAGCGGCCGTCTTATCAAAATATGGGAATATGAGTCGGGACGCAAGAGAAGGAGTGTTGAAGTTCACCATCCGAAAAACATCACAGATTATCAACGCAAGAACACTGCAAGAAAGTTCATCAACTTCTCTTGTCTCGATACAATGATTTCAGATTGACAATAAGACCGCTTAGCCTCGAGCTTGAGATAGAACTTGAACCCCGCCTACCTTTCTCGCCTTTCTCAATTGTTCAATTAACAATGACTTCAAAACCAAGCTCTGCGGCTTCACCACTATCAAAGCCATTGCATCTTACCATTCGATTCGCAGATTCGATCCCGGATCTGCTTTTGGACATCCCCACTCAGAACAATCTTACCGGTGTGGGATTGAAACATTTGGTCCGTTCAAAGCTTGAACCTCCAGCATCGCAACGTCGATTTCGATTTATATATGGAGGAAAGTTTTTACGAGACGATGATTTCCTAACAGCTATACTTAAAGTTCCAACGCCTCCTCCACGGGCTGTTGATGCGAAAGGAAAAGGAAAAGATGTAGAATTACCCCCTGTGAGGGTATACATCAACTGCTCAATCAGTGATGATGATCTAAGCCCCTCCGAGCTCGAAGCAGAAACTTTAGCAGCTACTACCGCACTCAATAAGGCAAAGAAGGAAAAATTGCCAGATACGGCTTCTACGAGTCTCGGCATACCAACTTCGAGCACAACAGTTGCACCGCGTGGCTTCAACCGATTCCTCTCCGCTGGGTTTTCCCCAGCTGAAGTAAATCAACTACGACTTCAATTCCAATCAATTCAAGCAAGCATACATACGCCAGATACTATGCCGTCTCCTGATACCCTGTTACGGATGGAAGATTCTTGGATAGATAATAATGCAGGAAATGACGCAGGTAGGGTTGAGGGTGGCTTTGACTTTGGGGATGATGGTATGGGTAGTGGATTTGATGACTTATTATGGGGTAACATTATGGGATTTATATGGCCTCTTGGGTGTGTTGTATGGATATTAAGAGAACCTGGGATATTGTCATCAAGAAGACAAATTGCTGTTTTCACGGGCTTCCTCTTGAGTATTACATTTGGGTTTCTAAAAGTTCTCTCATAACAGGCAACGATCGTTAAGCTGACTTTTGAGGTTGCTGTGGGAACTTTCATCTCACATCTTCACATCTATCGATGCAAGAGTGTCAGTCTGATCGAGGTTTCAATGGAGTAGTGGAGGCGTTTTGGAAGAGATGGCAATGGATTCTTGCCTCGATTGTAAAAGCAGGTGCTTGCATCTCATGTTCCTTATTCTGGAGGGATGAGAGAATTAGTGAGCTCCCGATTGAGTTACTGGGGCGTTTCGGGAGAAATGGTGATAGCGACGGAAGCTCTACATGATACCCGGTCATCTAAATCATATTGACATAGCATTGAAGATTATTGGCTTGTCATATTCCCCGAATTCGGACTATTTTTATTCAACGGTTGAGAAATTATCAAGTTGACGTACATATTTACGATCATCAGTGCATTCAAATGACGCCAAACTGGTACAGCAGGCCACCCTCTAAGCCCGTGAATGATTCTAGTTATTATTTACGAGTATTTAGGTAATTTTCCCAGCCATTCAACTTAATCAAATGCACAGAACCTTCCTCGGGGACTTTGCGTAAGCCGCCTGTCCCGTTTATCCACCTGAGTATTGTGACACGACTTCTTTACCCGCTGTACTTAGCAGATAACATCACCCGTTTGCATTGGATGCGTTGAGCGAGCGTTGAATTTCTCCTTTCTATTGTTTCATAACTAAATCTTCTACTTTCTTTTTCAACATTTTCATTTCTTTGCATTATCATTCAAATTCACCACATTCAATGACAGGTGTGTCATGGCAACACCATAGCGCCAATATTTGATCGCCGACCATACATCACGGTTAGTTACCTTTCGCCCACCTTCGGCTACTTGCATATTTTGTAGCACCTTGGCGGAATCTGGTTCATCCGTCCAAGCAAAGCGGGCCCGGCACTTTGGGACGAGTCATAGATAGCCAGGAATCATCGCTGTCGTCAAACCCAAACTGTTGGAGGTTCCTTTAAGTATCGGAATAAGCTGCAATATGTACTGGTATGCAAGACACGAAAGATGTGGTATTACAACGTTTTGCGTTGGGGAGATGACCGGTTGAACGAGGATATGTTACATTTATAATATAAAAAATTTGCATTTACTAATTTTTATTTCAATCGAGGCTTCTTTCTTCAGTATGAACATTTGCATTTCTTCCATACTTTAGTGATTCTATTAATGTGATTCTACTTCAAACGATATTATGGCAACATCGCAAGAAGCAATTGATGCTTTTAATGCAGCTGGCGGAAGCCGTCAAGATATACAAGACTATACAAATCCCAATCCCATCGAAGTTGATGTAATGATCCTACCAGAGTTGTTTAAAAATATAAGCTTACTAGTGAAGGACAACGATGCACTTGAGAATGATTCTGCATTCGGTGGACCGGCATCGTAGGTAATCGCTAAAGTTTTCAAGCGTAGACTAATACCAGCACAGGAGCAATACGAGTAAGACATCGTTAACGTCTGGAATAACTCGGTATAGGTGAGTACTTCTGTGGTTCTTGCTGGAAGGACGTAAGCTGATTCAGCTATTCTAGAGAAGAGGTATGGTCCGGGTTTCGTATACTTGAAGTGATCAAATATACTTATATCTTTTAGAATGGTCGGAGATACCATGCTTATAGAGATGGTAAATATCTGATGGTAAGATCTATCGTTTGTACTATCCACACACAAGTACTGAAAACCCAAGCCCAACGATGATGACGAGCAAGATCGTATGGATCTAGTATGTATACGAACATTCCAATTTCGGTAAAACTGATCTGATAGATAATCAAAGCTTCATCACGTTTTCAATCTTGTTTTGGATGGCAAGCTATACTTGGCTCCGATTGAGAACCCTCAACGAGTACTTGATGTTGGAACCGGAACTGGGATTTGGGCAATTGATTTCGCCGAGTATGTTTTTGTCAGCGTAAAGGAGGAGTGATCTCTAAGTTCGCTTCTAGTCAATATCCTTCATCGCATGTTGTGGGCTGTGACTTATCTCCGATTCAACCTGGCTGGTATGATCTTACCTTATTCTTGTATGAATGTTTGCTAAGTCACTCGTAGGATCCCACCAAATCTTGAATTTGAAGTAGGTCAGTGCCATCATCTTACTAGATCGAAATACTGACCATGGTTAGATCGATGATGTCGAAGATACATGGCGTTATAGTCAGAAATTTGATTTTATACACATTCGCTCCTTGGGTGGCTCTATCGCTTCTTGGTATGTTTCATGATTAGATTCGTGACGAGATGATACATTATTACAATACATCATATTGACTGTTCATCCCAGGCCTCATCTTCTCGATCAAGCTCGTGATAATCTGAACGAAGGAGGTTTTATCGAGCTTGTCGATTTCGAATAGTGTGTCTCAATTTCATTCTTTCCTCCTTTCTGAATCTTCATCCTATGACGCATCACTCATTACTTGAACCATCTAAATCTAAACTTCTTTCATAGTCATGGATACTCAGACGATGGGACAGGAGAGGTACGTATTATCCTGGCTCGACTCCGTTGCGCTTTTCACATCCACTAACCATTGAACAGCTAGCTCCATCATTCCAAAAATGGCAAGCGGGTCTTGACGAAGCATCCAGATTATTCGGACGAGACTTGAATGTCGCTATGAAATTTAAAGATTGGTTGGAAGAAGCTGGATTCGAAGCAGTGGTGGAGAGACATTGGAGGGTAGGTTTTGGGTTCTATCTCGTATGAGAGAAATGAATGTGATTGGATCTGTCTCGAGTATTGGACCAGTCCTAAGAATGATTCATGCTTCTAGATCTCCGTATTTTGGAAGATAACCCACAAATTCTCACTTTCCTTGCATATTTGCTCTCATTCAATCATCCTATGTTCTGTTACATTCGTAGAATCTGGCTAACCACCATCTAGCTCCCTATGGCACCCTGGGCCCGAGATCGTCGCAACAAGGAAATTGGACTCTATATGCAACAAAACATGCTAGACGCAACTGTCGCGTACGGAATGGCGCATTTCACAAGGATATTAGGATGGAGTCCTGAAGAGTGAGTTTTCCTTTCTACACTTATCCACTCCCATCATTCCCCGCCTTCAATTCTTCCCTTACCTCAATCCTCATCCTCTCAGCTCCCTTCCCCCCCCCCATACATCACCAATCTCACATTACAAACCCCCACCCCAAGCTAACCACCCCCCCTCAAACCCAGATACCAAGTCCTCGCCGCCGGCGTCCGCAACGAATTCAAAGACCCCCGCGTCCACAATTGGTGCAACATGTATATCGTCTACGGACGCAAACCCATTAGTAGCGGAGAAGAAACTATTGCGCCTGCGGTGGGTGCACCCGTGCTTTCTAGTGGTGCGGGGTTTGTTTCTGGTGGAGAGATGAAGTTGGGAGGGGAGGATAAGGAGAAGGATAGGGAGGGGGAAAATACGAATGTAAGAGATGAGAAAGTAAATGGGAAGGAGATAGAGCAGAAGAAAAATGAGAGTGAGAGTGATATCGAGGCGGCGGTTAAGGTGATGGCGCAGGAGAAGGGAAAGGGAAAGAGAAAGAGTGGGAGATGACTTCGTTGGGGGAGAGGGAAATAGGGTGATGATGTAAAGAAAGAAACTAACCTGGGATGAGATTGGATGGCGATGGTAGACGGTTCCATAATTTGGATGAGGACAATAGCAGGAGATGAGAAGAGGAATTATGGTTCCTAGGGGATCAGATGATAGTAGGCAGGGCAGTGATTTTATGAGTTTAATTATTTATCTATTTATCTATTTATCATGGAGAATTTAATTTAGTGAGTGAGTGAGGGGAGGGGAGGGCGATGGAATGGAGTGGAATGATAATTAAAGGATAGGAGATTTTAATTAGCTTGAGTATGAGGATATGGATATGAATATGGATATGGATATGAAAATAGTTAATGCAATCTCATAATAAAGAGTAGCTGTGGAAAATCAATAGCATATTATGTCTATGCTATTTCCTCCGTCATAAAGAAAACTCTTGATATACTTGTCAATTTGATACCATCAGATTTGGAAAATAGTCAACAAAAATAGTAAATACCTAGGTATCCACAACCAAAGGATTTTCATCAATCTTGCTACCAACTTCCAGTTTCCAATTCCACGCCTTCTCAAAATCTACCATATCTCATTTCATCCCACCTCACCACCCCTCTCCATCCATCCCTCCATCTCCATCTCCCTATCCCCATAAAAACTATCCTCCTCCCTCCCCCGCTCCTCCCAACTCACCCCAACAAAACCCTCACCCCCCTACTCCCCTTCCCCGGCTGAGGCAAAAAGTAATCACTCTTCACCCTAACATCTCTCTCAAAATCTGTTTCGAAGAGACGGATTTCAAAACGCGATATGATGACTGCGAGCGCGAGGTGGATTTCGGCTTTGGCGAGACTGTGGGGAGTTAGCTGGTAGTGGGTAGAGAGGGATATGGCAGAAAAGGAAAGGAGAGAATGTTTGCAAATTTTTCATGCTAGGAATGATCAGGGGAGATGTGGATAGGGAGGTTGGGTTATGTTATGTTAGGTGATGTTAGGTTATGTTCTGCAGGTAATCAAAAAGAAGAAAAGCAATACATACACCTGCCCAATACAACTCCTCGACCCCCTCGAGAACGAAACCAGATATTTCTCCAGCGCATGATTGATACCTCCATCTTCCAAAATCCATCGTTCGGGGAGAAATTGATGGGAGGAAGGAAAGATGTTTTCATCGTGATGTTGAAGTATTGTGCTCATGCCGATGGGTGTCTATTTGCAGTATTGTGTTAGGATAGATTTTAGAGAGAAGAGGAGATTTAGTAGAAAAATAACTCACACCGGCTGGAATTTCCCATTTTCCATATCGTAAATTCTCATTAGGTGCAATACGAGCTAATCGACTCGAGACACCGTAGGAAAGACTTTTCTCCCTTATTATTATCTCGTCCCATTCTAATTACACATTCCATCAAAAACTCACCGTAATCCTTCCAGCGCACACGCATTCTAGATCTCGCGTTAGTGCTGCTTGTAAGCCCCTCATTCACGATCCAAAAAACTCACCAAATAAACCAATCTCTCCACCATTCCCAATTCCACTTTCTTCACCTCCCCATCCTCGCTCCTCCCCAGCCCCACACCCCTCAATTCTTCTCTCAACTTCTCACATCTCGTTGCGTCGCTAGCGAGATAATACATCAATATCATCAAGGTATGAGCCGTTGTGTCCGTACCCGCCCCAATGATATTAATAGCCTCCTGACTCATATTCGAGAACTTTTTTTCGCTTTCCGGTAGAGAAGAGGAGAGGAAGTTATGGAATATGGTGCGGGGGAAGCCATCGATAGGTGCATCGACGGGGAGGATGGTGCCAGAGAGGATTTCGCGGATTTGGGTGCGAATTTTCTGAGAGGATTTGGGTCAGTTGGAAATTGGAGAGGAGAAAGGAGTAGAGCAAAGGATAGAGGAAAGAGGAATGAGAAAAGTACATTGTGATGATCAAGCGTGAGAATAACGCTCGGAGCAAATTTATTCAATATCCAATGAGGAGTATGTTCCAACAAGGTATAAATACTTGGAACAAATTTGGCCCATTTTGATATGATAGATACAGCAACAAAAGTTTGTGCCCATGATGGATTGAAATCTGGAGTCTGTAGGATTCTATTAGAAGTGTTTTCAAACGATAAGGGTGGGATGTACATCGAGATGGTTCCAGCAACGGTTGGTTGCGTAAAGTGTAACAATATCGGCCGTGTAACATTGAAAGGGAAGACGAATGTTTAGCGGTTGATAAGTGTTACGGAACTCTTCGAGGCGTGATGAGAGTTTCTCGACCTATAGAAAGAGATTAAGACTGATCCGGAGCACTTCAAATTGGCGTGAAAGGAGGACATTTGAACAGCCACTGGGAGGAGACGAATGCTTCTGATTTGGCAGTATAATGGATAGCAGACTTACCATAGAAGTTAACATAGGGGAAAGACGATCGATCGAAGCTTTTGAGAAGAATGGATTGAGTGCAGACCTTCTCATTCGATGAAGATAGTGATCCTCGGCTCCGAACCCAGTATCTGGCGTATTGAACTGTGCTGTGTAGAATGGATCTTTGTTTCTCACACCGTTATAAGAGAATAAGGTGTTGTAGTATTCGGAATCATTGATATGGATTTCATTTGGTCCGATCCGGATAATTGGACCTAAGGAAGGCATTCAATACGATGGTTCTTGATCTTTTGAAGTATCGATTGGCCAATTGACATACCATATTTTTCGTGCCATTGTGCAACCTTGAGGAAGTACTGGCCTGATTGGATGCATTCATAATAAAATTCCGACCAGAGGGTGACTGCAGGCAATATAGGACCCGGAAATTTGGACAATGGGTGGAAGTAAAGACGATATATAACGTCCAATATGCAGTAAATAAGAATTGAAGTTCCCAGAAGAGCTACCACGTCAAACCAACTGATATCAGAGGACAGCATGGCCATAGAAGAATTGAATCAATGATAAAGGATTAAAATCGGAGTTTGGCAATGCAAAGGAATTGGGGGAATGCAGAGTGATGATAATGGAGTAGATATAAAGCCATAACTGCACACCATACTGTATACCGCATTCAAGCATCATCACCGTCACATGGAGGACAGCAGTCTCAACAAATTGAAGCATTAAAATCCCCTTGTCAAAAAGCAAGCAGCCATACTTTGAGAGCGGGGCTTTCAGATGACATACAGATTTCCACGTTTTACACACGAGCAGCCCAATTGGAATTTGCGTGCATCTTATAGCTTACATAACGTGTTGTATTGCGACGTCAATCTAGCATCATAAGAAGTTGATAAATAGGCTTGCATAGGCTAAATGTTTGGCTGGTAAGTGAGTATTACTCATAGTGCATATATGGTTGCGGTGACTCTCATCGGTGCTTCTTTGGGACCTGTCTGTGCAACACACCACCGGTAACAAGAAAAATATGACGGGTAAAGACATTTTTTCAATACCAATTGGTAAAATAGACCACGTGAGACAAGGATACCTATGTAGCTGTGGTGCCATGATTTCTCATCCTCAGATATTTGGTACCCACCCAGAACAGTTGGGATGGATGCCCGCACACGCTCAACTGTACATTATTCGTGAGATCATATGTTTGTAACTCGTGATATGCAGAGGAGATTTGCATTGGTATTCACCTTACCCGACAACGATCGAGAGAAACTCAAAATAACATGTAGAAAGCATGTGCACAAAGAGGCAAACTCGCTGACTGCAGCAAAATATGCAAATGAGTTGGCAGGATTGGGAAGCGATCAAAGAAAGTATCATCATAAAGTGCTGGTGCGAGGTTCACCACATGCCATGCACTTGCCCGAACCATGCGAGTGATATTGTATCTCGAACCACTACCGAACTACACTCGAGGTATCTCATCGGAAACTTGACTAAAACCAATCACACCCTACCCTCACACGAATTGCTATTTGGAACCTCTTGATGTAAACCAATTGTACAAAGTTGTATTAGAAAGCAGCCTATGGCAAAGTGTAACTGAGAACCAAGCACCAGAGAACGCCCCCGTTGAAATGCAAATAGTCTATCTGAACTTGCTAACAATAACAGCAATAATAAGAAGAACTAAGACTGTTATGATGGCCACGGTGATTATCCGGTTGGTAGCCATCCTAGAATAGTGCGGTCAGCGTAACATCCTCGGCAGTTGTGAGTGGAGCAAGGGATGATTTACCTACGAGACATCCCCCTCAACGTCTTTACACTTCTATCAACAAACCCCTCACTTTGTATCAATGTATCATGTGTATGCTGAATTGTCTCCCTCTGTCTGTGTAAATCTGCGAGCGTGCTAGCACCAATAGCCTCCGTCTCATTTGCTAATGCTTGACTGGCCTTTAGTCTCTGCGAGCTTCGGTCTAATCTGTCTGTCCCTGACAGAAGTTGTTGTCTTTGTTCGAGTTGAACATCGTTTGGATTGTCGGAATAGCGTGAACCAAATAGAGCTGATCGATCATTTTGCAAAGTCTTCAATTTCCTCTTTGATACATCCACATCTGATTCATGATTTCGAAATCGTTGGTTAACTTTGGTACGAGTTGCTGAAGGGATGTTTTGTTTTTCGAGTCGCATTTGATCAAGCTGGATAAGAGTAAGTATTAGATAACAAGCATTTGATTCCTGAACCTACTAATTCATTCGCCTCTTCTAATGCTCTCTCAGCTTGACTTATGGCAGCTTTACGAGGTTCTCCAGTAAGATCGGGGATCTGGTCCAACTTTTGATTTAAATCGGCTTGAACGAGTTTGAGCTCTGCTTCATAACTGCTGAAGAGCTCCGAGCCTGCATCGGTATCGAGAGGATTTGACATGATTGAAAACGGCAGGTGATAGAATCAATGGAGATGAATGTGATGGGTATTGAAAAGGAGATTTGGATTATTGCACGGAATGATTATTGCTGATCGGTGCCCTCAGATGGTGTCGTAATGCGGTACTGTAACACTGAGCAAGCAACGCAATACTTCCTCAAAGAGTGAGTGAGAGTGTGATAGTGTGAGAGTATGAGAGTATGTATGTATCACCAAAAAAAAACCATGGGGATGGAGAGGGGAGGAATATGATAGATGATAGGTCAATCAATAGTTTGTCTTGTGAATAAGGTATAGATTATTGTTGTTAATGCATTGACAATTCAAGGAAGGGGAAGGAATGGGAAACTGGAAGTTGCGACGTCTAAAACAACATTACCAGCTGGAGGTACCTGCACAGGACCCGTGGACGGGTTAATAATAATAAGTGTCAGCCTTGGGGGAGTTTATTAGTTGTGGCTCAGATAGTGAGTGTGGCTGATAGATCATGTGATATAATGCATGTGATATAATGCATGTGCCACTTGTCATAGGCGTCCACGGTCCACGGGTCCGCGGGTCATCAGTGATAGGATGATGGCATAACCGGCTCGACCGGTACTTGTAACTAAGGAAGGTTGTTCCCGTTCCTTCATTCCTTTCATCGGTGTTAATGAAATCCGATCATCCGAGGTTCGCCCTTTGAAGTTACAAAGTATCGAGCTATCCCATATTCACCTTCGTCTCTCGTCCTCGTACCTGGCTTATAACCTTAGCCCCGGCTATATTTTTCTGATCTTCACATCCATCCCACCAAGTTTCAGCATCGTAATCGTATGGAGTGAAGCTTGAGCACAGATGAAGGAAGGGGGACTAGCTTGAGAGAAGAGAGAACTTAAAAGAGAAGAGAAGAGAAGATTGAAAAAAGATGAAGCGGAAGGGAAAGAGAGGAAAGGAAAGAAAACTTGACTATTTACTGTACTAACAACAACTTATCTCTTCATCAAAGCTCTATACCAAACCATTCTTCTCCTTCTCCTTTCTAAAATCTCTCTATCTATTTCTTCATCTCCATCTACGTCTATATCTCCATCTATATCTACATCTACATCTACATCTATATCTACACCCATTTCTACATCTACATATATCGAACTATATTATAGACCACTCAAATAGTACTCCGTACTCGTGTAGTAACCTTCAACCAAAAAGTCAATTGAACACTCACACAAAAGAAATCATTCAAACAATGCCATCATCAACTAGTTCTCCGAGCTATGAGCACACTATTTCCAATACCAATACCAATACCAATACCAATACCACTACTGCTTCAGCTGCAGCTACCCCCGCCACCACTCAAGAGATGCCGCTTAGTACTGACATGTGAATATTCCATTCTTTTACGCCTTTCTCTTAATTATTGACTATTTTTTTCCCCCTTCTTCTCTTTCCTCTCCTTGTCTACCTCATCTCTCCCTAAATCATGTCCGCCGGCCTAACTGATCGATTTCCTAGAAAGAAAGTCGCTATCATCGGAAGTGGTTGTGCTGGAATCGGGGCTCTTTGGGCTTTAAATCGAACCCACCACGATGTGTACATTTACGAAGCTGCGGATCGATTAGGAGGTCATACAAATACTGTCAAGTATCCTCATAATGGCAAAACAACTCCTGTCGATACAGGATTTATAGTGTTGAATACTGCTACTTATCGTAAGTAATTCACTTGCTCAATCCCGCGCCACACACCGGATCTGCAAATACCTAGTCCCGACTAGCAGAATGAATGCAAGTTTTCAATGTTGGAAAGTATTTCAATATCTGAAATAGACTCATTGTTTCATACCAATCGGATCTCTTGGTCTAATTGAGAGTTTTGGACGCATCTGATTATTGGACTGCAGTCCGAGCTATCAAATAACCATGGCCATATAACATTCAGGAACATGTAGGCTGACAAACATATTATAGCGAATTTCATAGCTTTCCTGAATACCCTCAATGTTCCTACCGTACGCACCGAAATGACCTTTGGGGTCTCTCGAGATAAGGGATTATTCGAATGGTCAGGAACCTCACTCTCGTCCGTATTCGCACAACGAAAGAACCTCTTCTCATTAAGGATGTGGAGAATGATATTCGATATCATTCGTTTCAATCAATTTGCTTTGGACTTATTGAAAGAGGAAGAGAAGAGTGAGGAATATGTGAACGGGTATGTGAATGGGAATGGAAATGGAAATTCAAAAAACATTCATCATGCGGAGAAACAAGAAACTATAGGTCAATATCTGGATAGGGAAGGATATTCCGATGCATTCAGAGATGATTATCTTATACCAATGACTGCAGCTGTATGGAGTACAAGTCCGGATAAGTGTTCACTTGAATTCCCAGCTGTCACTCTGGTCCGATTTATGTAGGTTGAAATTAAGGGCATAGTTTGTTTGAACATCACTAACAAGCTTAGGTGGAATCATCATCTATTAAGTACTGTTGCTGCTCGCCCTGACTGGTTAACGGTCAAGAATGGAGCGAAAACATACGTGGATGCCGTGATGAAAGGCTTTCCACCAAATCACATCTTCCTTTCTACACCCGTCGAGTCAGTACGCAATGACGATGATAATCGTATACGCTTATGTCTCGAGAATGGCAAGGAAGAGATATTCGATCACGTCATAATCGCTACTCATGGAGATGTCGCATATAATCTAGTCCGATCCTCTTCTACAGCCACCGAACGTCGCATTCTTACTGGATTTCAGACCTCGAAAAATACAGCTGTCCTTCATTCCGATCTTTCTCTCATGCCTCAAAACAGAGAAGCTTGGTCCGCTTGGAATTATATCACTGCTTCTTCTACTTCTTCGACCTCGAAATCTAGAAATGTTGACCAAGTTTGTTTAACATACAATATGAATATTCTCCAGCATATCCCGACCTCCAAATTTGGCGATGTTCTCGTCACACTCAATCCTTTGTTTCCACCAAAACCAGAACTCACTCACAGTACATACACCTACCGTCATCCACTCTATAATACACGTGCCATAACGTCTCAATCCCAACTTCCAGAAATTCAAAACACGAGAAATATATCTTACTGTGGAGCATGGACCAAATACGGATTTCACGAAGATGGCTTTAGTAGTGGAATCAAAGTAGCAATGGATCATCTAGGTGCTACTGTCCCTTTTGAGTTTAAGGATAGTACCTTTAGTCGAGGTAAACGTCCTGTACTTGGATTGAGTGATCTGATCTTGAGGATTTTCATCTTGGCTATTCAATGGTTTGTGGTTAATATACTGGAGAGAATCCTTTTCGTTGAGAGAAGTAAATCTCAAGCGGAGCTTAAAAGGAAGAAGTTTGTTTGAATTGTTATGGATGAGTAGGCTACCAGCGCTCGAAAGAAATTCGATGACCTGAGAATGAAAGGAAAATTGCATGTATACATACACACTTGATGTTTATGAGGAGTTTGGAGTATTGGGAAAAGTACCATTGTCAGGTTCATAGCGATGCTCTGAGGTATATATTTACATTACATTAATACTATGTTGTTCAAGCAATCAGGGTCGGTATTGAAGTGTCGTTTCTATTCAAGTAGCAATATGGTAATATAGCAGCATAGCATAGCATAGTATAGTATAATCTCCACACAACAAGATGATCGTATATTCGTCAAAAAGACTTGATATTATATCCCGTATATCTCATCCCATCGCATCTCAATCCTCAAAACACACAAATATGCATCCATCCTCCCTACCACCCATCTAAATATACCAACAAAGATAATAACGGCAAGGAGAAAGATAGGGGCAAGCCCCCAAACCCCCGGGTGCTCGCTACGCTCGAAGTTTGAGCGGGATGTGTGTATTTTTGAGGGAAGGGAGAAGAGAAGAGAAGAGGGGAGAAGGTAAAAGTGGGAAAGGAGGATAAAAGGAAGAGGATAGTATGGTATTTATATTTTAGTATGGTTTTAAATCTTAGATATTATTATAGATGCTACGATTGATGAACTTATATTTATTCTACTTTATCGGGGTTTGGGAGATGGGATTATTATTTATTTTGAGTTATATACTAAACAGTTTCACTTCGTATAAGTTCCTTTTTATGAATCTTTTTTTCTCATCTTCTCATCTTCTTATTACTCTTTTAATTTTTCCTTTCTTAAAAAAGAAAAAAGAAAAAGAAAAAACTCGCCTTCAAAATATTCCTCTCTTGTTCATATTCCTTTCCTTCTCTTCTCCAAGTCCGCTTGTCTAATCATTAGTTATTACCTTTCTCCTCTGAATCAATCCACACTACGTATTTATCATCAACAACCTTTCCTCTTGTGCTCATATTACTTACTTCCCGTCTCGATTTTACAACATCTCATCTCATCTCATCTCAGACTATCCCATACTGTTTCTTCACCCTTCCCCGATTCTCCTTCTTCTTCCTTGTATGCCCCTCGTCGAATTCTATACGAACCCTCAAGCGTCTTCGACTGGCTACCCATCTAAACTCGATTAAATCCCCACTCACTCACTCACTCACTCACTCGCTAGTAAGCAAGTAAGCAAGTAGCTTCTCTGCTCTATACAAACACAAACACATGCTCATAGAACCCTTTTACCCAGGTACCGTTCAAAAAGATTAGATTAACATTCATCTACCTACTTATCCTACCTATCCTATTAGGCAACAGGTCAGTCCAGTACTTCTCTATCCCAAACCCTGACTCTCCTAAATAATTCATCAAGTAACCCCCAGCCAATATTCAAACGTTCCAGAGGCCATCAACGATTCTTGTTCCACCACCGTCTGAGCATTTCATTTCATGCCACTCTACTAACACTCCATTTCAACGCCATACCATCCCATCCCATCATATCCATGAAAAATAATAAGTCCATAGGTACCCATACCCATACCCATATCCATAATCTCTCCATCCGTAGGCAATGCCATCCCGATACAAATGAAATTCCACAAACATTTACTTCCCGCTACCATAATATT